TCACGCGTAGCGTCAAATATATATGTGCTCGGATGCTGTTTCATCCGACGAGACAGTCATGGGCAAGTATGAACAGTTCGATTATGTGCGTATCAGCACCTGTAGGAACACACTCATGCGTATAACTGTAGGTGTATGCTCTGTTGACGAGTAATTCCGCTTGGCGAACATCCTAATATACGCTCTAGCTCCACGAGAAATTGCCAGTTGCAGTATTCTTATTGTAAATGAATGTACATGTATCTACATAATATATATATATATCTATATCTATATCTACATATATGAACATACATATATATTCTGAAGCTACATATGCAGCCAAAGCCACAAATTACCTGCAACGTACGCGATATCGATTTGACAAGCAGAACTTCTTGATGCACCTCTTCATATATCATATATGTATATGTGCGTGTGTGTATGGGCATGAGTGCAACGTCGAGCTAATTCCACACCTCTGCACTCGTCTTACAGTGCCTGATTACGTAGCTAAAGCCACCAACCTGCTGAGCGCAACCGGAGAGTTGCCTTCCAAGGTCGCAGCAGGGTAAGTCAGTAAGCTTGTCGTCTTTTGTGTATATGCATTTGTACTACTCTTATGTACCTGTCTATTCATGCATATTGCGGTGCTCATCCCCGCCACCTTGTGTTTACCTTGTTATTATATTTGTAGGTATATATGTGCTACCCATGTGTACCTTTCCATTTATGTATGTTTCGTTGCTTGTTCCAACCAACTTGTACTCTAGTGTCTACGTATTTGTACTATCATTGTGTAAACCTTTTAAATCGTTTGTATTGCGGTGGGCGTTAAGCTATGTGCTCACTCGAAGGTATGCCCGTGTATTGGTACGAGCGTTTTTGTTGTTTGTTTTTTTGTTTTCTGCACTGCTCTGTAGGTACACAATCGCGCGTGCGTAATTGCATTGTATCTATGACCAACAGCGTGTCATCTAAGTTCATGCAGAGTATAAACACAAGTGTACATGTACCCCGTACGTGGTTACGGGTACAACTTGTTCATAAAGCCTTATATATATGTATATATTATATATATGTATGTGTATGTATGTATATGTATGTGTGTGGTGGGGGGGGGGTAATTCTATTAGTGCATTCATCAGCCTTATTTTATTTACCTATCATCGTGGACATGTCTTTATTGTGACAGTTTCCTTTGTAAAGCGTACGTGTGCTCCGCAACCGTACATTGCATGTGTATGTACACACGCAGGCACAGGCGCACCTACATATCTTTGCAAATCTGATCTGCTCAACATGGCTTGTCTTGATCCGAGCTTGTGCATAGTCTTCTTACCTGGAAATATCATGTGCTCAATTGGTGTAGCTTGAAATCTCACATAAACGTGTTTTGATACTGGACAGTTCATCGTGAAGTGTGGGTGTTGTCCAGTGGGGAAGCGTGTTGCGTTCAGAGGCTTTAGGGTTTCAAGCCATCCCACAATGTGATTTGTTTGCGCTCAACTTGATCAACTTACAGAGTATTGAAAGCAAGGGTTTACAGAAGCTTGTGGTATCGTATTAATAGGATAGCTGTATGGTCGCCTTGTCACGTCTTCAGGCGTGCCACTCAGGGCCCCTTATGCTCGTGTGCTACCACGTGGGCGGTGTGTCATCGGTGTGTGTATATCACATGATTGCGCAGGCCTGGCCTCTCCCGGTGTCAAGCCCGACACAGTAGACGTATGCCTGTATATGCCTGTATCACCTGTGTGTGTGTATAACTGGTCTGTTTTACCAGCCTTGTCCTGTCCTGTCCTGTCCTGTCCTGTCCTGGTACCAAGCTCACCACTCCTCAACCATCTGCGCCCACTTTAGCAAGCCACCACGACCCGGGAAGACCTTTGGGTTTGTCAACAACACAGCCAACTACTACCCGGACCACGAGTACAAAGTGGCCACCCGGCTGGAGGTGTACGGACATGAACAGCCTTAGAGGCGTACCATGTTGTTGATGACTGTAGGGGGCACACGGTTGGTTGAATGTGTTTGCTCGATTGGAAGTATAGAGTCACGGATACATGTGTGTTGGAGAATCGCTAGGTGCCTCCGCATGTGTGCACCTGTCCCGAGTGCCTTTGGGTGCGGCCCGACTGGCGAAATAGAATAAAGTTGTTAAGGTGGGACGTTATTTTGTTGCACAACTGTATTATGATTGGGCTTAAATTGTTAAACATATGTATATGATTGGACTTTATTTGTTTTGTAACTATATATGATTGGACTTTACTTGTCAAACATATGTATATGATTGGACTCTATTTCTTCAGCAACTCTACATGATTGGACTTCATCTGTAAAACAACTGTATGTGATTGGACTTTATTTGCGAAACAACTGTTTTATTTTTGAAACAACTCTACATGATCGGACTCTATTTGTGAAACAATTGTATACGATTAGACTTCTCTATATGATTAGATTTTATTTGTAAATCTACTCTGTGTGATTAGTCTTTACTTTATTTACTAAACAATCTGTACGATTGGCTTTTATTTGTTGAACTATATTATTGGTCTTTATTTTGTCTTTATTTACTAAACAACTATATGATTGGTCTTTATTTGCTAAACAGCTCTATATGATTGGTCTTTATTTGTTACAGAACTCTATATGATGTGGCCTTTATTTGTTACACATCTCTATATGATTGGTCTTTATTTGTTACACAACTCCACACGATTGGACTTCGTATGTCAGATACAGTTGTTAATATGTGTTCGATGGGAAGTGTGCGGTCACGCGCAGGGGTGGAGGCATGCACAATCGATGAATGATGACTCATTCCTCCGCATGTGTGCACCTGTCCCTAGCACCTTTTGGTTTGGGCCCAGCACGGTGATTCAGAACACCTCTGTCAGCCAATTACATACGAACAACCTGCTTCGAAAAACGGATCACGGAGTCCCCAGTTGTTTCAATGGCATACCCAGAGACTATCATATCATCAGCGCGTTTAATTTGTTATTCTGATCCACCTGACCCTGTCATCAGATGGCAGTTGCCAATGGCAATCCTGTGTGGGAGGGCATTTGGGTGTGGGTGCCGCAGTGGATTTCATACTGTTCCAGCCACACATCTGTATGAATACACACCCGTAACTTAAGGTCCACTTAAGGTCCCTTTAAGGCCCACTTAAGGTCCATTTACGGCCCACTTAAGGTCCATTTACGGCCCACTTGAGGCCCACTTAAGGTTCATTTAATGTCCACTTAAGGCCCACTTATGGTCCACTTAAGGCCCACTTAAGGTTCATATAAGGTCCACTTTGCTTTGGATGCACTAGGCATAAACGTCCACCATAAGCATCTTCTAGATTAAACACATGGCGTATGTGCACGTGACATCGGAAGTTCATATGGGCGATGGGCGAATCATCGCGGATAGCTGCATGTAGCCTTAGACAACCTTTTAACAAGTATCAAGCATGCGTCGTTCACTTCCAAGGCTGTAACCGGATGGATACTTCAACTACTTATGCTGTTACTTAAGCTAGTTATGCTGTTACTTAAACTACTTATGCTGTTACTTAAACTACTTATGCTGTTACTTAAACTATTTATGCTGTTACTTAGACTATTTATGCTGTTACTTCAACTACATAAGTTGTTATTTAATCCACTTAGGCTGTTATATAAACTACTTTTGTTACTTAAGCTACTTATG